AATTGGAGGAAGAGATTGAGAACATGGGAGGGCATTTGAATGCTTATACTTCGAGGGAACAGACGACTTATTACGCCAAAGTTATGGATAAAGATGTCTTTAAAGCGTTGGATATATTGGCTGATATTTTGCAGAATTCGAAGTTCGAGGAACATAGAATTAGTAGGGAAAGGGATGTCATTCTAAGGGAAATGGAGGAGGTGATTATAAAGCTTGGATTTTTGGGGTGTTTTTAAATGGTTTTTTGGATAATATATGTTTTTGTTGATTTAGAATATAGGTTCTGTGTTTTTAGGGAATAGGAATTGGGTTGTTTGCGTTTTTGCTTCGTTCATAGGAGATAAAATAAGTAATTAGATTAGTGGTTGGATTTTAAAATGTCAACTTTGTGGAGCATATATGATCTTTAGGAAATGTGAACTTTGACGAAAATAGGTCAGTAGAGAGAAGGATGTGATTTTAGCGGAAATGTAGAACGCAATAAAAGATTTGGATTTTTAATGGGTTTTAGTATGGGTTTTGGCTGATATTTGTATGATCGATTAATTTTATAATGTGTTCTATCTGTTTTTATGGATTATAAGATGTAAAGGTAATTGGAATTGGGATAGGAGGTAAAAATTGTGTTCTTTTTTCTTGATTTTAATAAGGGTATTAATTTTTTTTAAATGGCATGTCTTTTCTTGATTGTTTTAGAACGATAAAATTTGCTTTTAGGGAACAGTACGGAGCAGATAATTGGGTTGTTTGTGTTTGCTTGGCACGTAGGATTAATATGGAAAGGAATGTGATGTTAAAGCAAAGGGAGGAGGTAAAAAGTTTAGATTAATGCCATTATTTATGAATGGCTTGAGAATTTTTATAATAAAAATGTTATTTTATTTGTTTAAAAATTACAATAATTTACTTTTGTTTTACTAATATGTGAAGGTCGTTCATTAGTTTTTGAGTAAGAGCTGTTTGCTTTGTTTGATACATTTGGCAATAACTGGGTTTTATTGGTCACATGTGCTGTACTGGAATTTGTGGGGTTAGAAACTGGTTTGCGTTGACTATTAATTGTAATAAAAATGCTGTGTTTTTTGAACAGAAAATGATATTTTAAGTATATTTCTCCTATTTGATTTCTTTTTTGTTGGTTGGCTGATTGGTGTGTTAAATAATCTCTTGTCAAGCCTTATAAGGATATTTATCGTCATTATTTTCTATGTAGATAGTATTCCCTTGGTTTTGCCAAGTGCCCTTGTTCGTTTTTCTATGCTGACTATTAGTGAAAAGGCTATTATCTTGTGGAATTTTGTAGGTTGAGGGTCAAACAGAAGAAGTTATTTTTGACCATTTGCATTCAACTGCTTTCCAATACACTCCTCTTGGTAGAACCATTCTGGGACCTGCTGATAATATTAAGACAATCACCAAAGAGAATCTGCAGAACTATATTCAGACACACTACACTGCTCCTAGAATGGTATGCAAAGAACTACTCAGATTTTCGTGTGTGTCTTCATTTAATAAGATATGACCACGTTCTTAGAACTGATGAATTTATTCCATTGATTTCCTATCATATCATGTAATGTACTTTCTGCAAGAGTTGTTGGTCCGTTCCTATAAATGTGTGTTATTTGGTAATTTTTACAGGTCATTGCTGCTTCTGGAGCTGTTAAGCATGAGGAAATTGTTGAGCAAGTAAAGAAGTTGTTTACCAAGTTATCATCTGATCCCACCACTGCTTCTCAATTAGCTGAGAAAGAACCAGCCCCTTTTACTGGTTCTGAGGTGGGGTGCCATTACTATAGTAAATTTTCAACTTTTTAATTCAGTAATATTCACATTCAATGTTTTATGCCATCTAAGGTTTTATTGTTTAATTTTGAAAAAATCAGGTTAGAATAATCAATGATGATATTCCTCTAGCACAATTTGCGGTTGCCTTTGAAGGAGCATCTTGGACAGATCCAGATTCGACTGCACTAATGGTTATGCAGGCGATGTTGGGTTCATGGAGCAAAAATGCTGGGGGTGGAAAGCACATGGGGTAAGCTTTATCCTTATTTTGGATCACGTTTTAAACTGAACTCTGCCTTGACTCTCATGATGAGACTCTTCTGTTGCAACAATGTGTTTATTTGTTTGGAAAATCTTTTAAACAGCTCTGAGTTGGCACAAAGAGTCAGCATTAATGAAATTGCAGAAAGCATGATGGCTTTCAACACCAACTATAAAGATACTGGTCTTTTCGGTGTCTATGCTGTTGCTAAGGTGAGTTTCCCTGCGTGTTTATATAATTTTTTGTTATGATCTGAAAAAAAGTTGATGCAAAACAAATATATCAATTCCTACTAGTTATGATTGACAATAGTTTAGTTATAAATTAGTCATATTATTTGATATCATCATAGACATATTTAATTCATTGTCTAGTGGCCTTAACATCTGGTTGTTGCCTCCCCCTTCCCTGCTTAAATTAGTTTAACTAAATTGGTTTGCATTTGTGAGCCAACAGTGATTGGCTGTATGCTGTTGCATGTGTTTTTTTTTCCTTTTCATTTTATTCTAGCTTTTATTATGACAGAATATTAAGTTTTCTATTCTGTTTTCAGCCTGATTGTTTGGATGATTTGGCTTATGCTATTATGTATGAGATAACCAAGCTAGCTTGTCGTGTTTCGGAAGCTGATGTCATTCGTGCTCGTAATCAGGTAGCTACAAATGCTGCTATCTTTTTTTCATGTTTGATAGATACACATTTTTTATGTTTTTACACTTTTGTATTTTTAAAGAACTTCCACCAGTGTGCCAGTATTACAAACCAGTTGCCAAGAGGTGGTTTTGTCATTCTATGTTTACAAATAAGCTGTATTTAATTCACCAGTGAGTGCAGATTTTGTTTAAAGGGTTTGTTATTTGTTATATAGATTTGTTTGAAATAGTTCATTGTTTTTTATTTTTTGCATGTCATACATTTTATGGTGCAAATCTAGAGAAACTATAGCCCTTCAATGGAATTAAATGCAAAATTTTTTTCTTAGTTAAAATGTCACTATGATGCCTATCCCAGCTGATTTAATCCTCTAATGATTCTTTTAATCCTCTCTCATTCTTTAACACATTCACATCGACATCACATACATCTGTGTGTGGAATCAAGAACTGTGCCCTTTAAATAGTGAATGCCTTGTTTCTCCTTTAAATAACTTGTGAAAATATGTTGCAATGTGCTTAACAATTATTGCCGTTTTTTGTTGCAGTTAAAGTCATCCTTGATGCTTCACATAGATGGAACTAGTCCTGTAGCTGAAGATATTGGGCGCCAGGTACAAGTTTTTTCTGCATTAGAAGGGTTTTTAATTCAGGTGGTGCATGAGAGCAATCATATATTTTGAATCAGCACATAAGCTGCTTTTAAGGAAATAGAGTTTTAAGTGATTCAAGGGGAATTCTTAATGACCAGAAACAAAGATTCTTTTGTTCATAAGGAGTTGAATGACTGGACTTGTGTCTTGCTGACTGTGTTGTGCAACATTTAAACGAGATAGTAGCTGTGCTTGGGCTGTTGTAGCAAAACGTAACATGTACTATCATTTATTACTCATTTCAGTTGCTTGTTTGCAGCTACTTACTTATGGTCGGAGAATCCCATTTGCTGAATTATTAGCTAGGATTGATGCCGTTGACCCAAGCACTGTTAAACGGGTTGCAAACCGATTTATCTATGACAGGGTAGGAACTGCAACCTAACCTCGCAATTACTACTCCCTCCTTTCTGCATTTACTGAAATGGGATCAAGCTAATATGACGTTTAATGCCGTTCTTTCAGTAGGATGAGACATTGAAATTGCTGGATATACCGTTTTAACGCCCTTTATATTTGGTTGTTGCAGGATATTGCAATTGCTGCAATGGGTCCCATCCAGGGTTTGCCTGACTACAATTGGTTCAGACGCAGGACCTACTGGAACCGTTATTAGATTATTTTGATTTACTTTCAATCGATCATCATCACCTTTCTTGGGCAATCACAAGACTTTGTCGCTTTTACACGACCAAAGTTTCTGGAAAACATCCAAGGGTGGCATTTGTATTCATTTTGTAGGGTTCTTGGTTCTGTAACTTTATTGTTATTCTGTAATAAGCAATGCTGTCTTCGGTGTTTCTGCTGAGAATCACTGAAATTCTTTTGCTAAACAAAAGGTAAATGATCAGCCCATGGTGTTGACAACGTTGAGTTGCATTTGTATTTTTGGTCCTCATTCCAAATGGCATTCGGAGAAAAATGGAAAATATATTTATTCTCTAACTACTTTTTAACTGTTGTTAAAAAATCATGTCATACAAACCAAAGGTGAATTAAAGAGATCAAAACATGAAAAATTTATATTTCTATTTGGATATCAAAATTTCCAAATTTGTAAGTTCTAAAAATGAAGGGGGAAGAAAAAGAGAGGAGACTTGAAAATTAACAGGAAAATATAAAACAAAAGAAAAATGAGACGTAGCCTTGTAACTATAGTTGTTTTCGATTATAACTAAAACTAACCAACAAGCTATTGTACAAAACTCCCATTAAGAAGAAAAAACCCATGAAAATTTTAATTGTCCATACATCTAATAAGTAATAATATTTTTTAAAAATAAGTAACTATTATATATGTTAAAATTTGAATTTAAAATAAGAATGACATCTCTTAAAAATAATTATATGAACAAATTAAAATAAATTTTTAATTCATTTTCATTTAATAAGTAATGATATACATTCATATTATTTATCATAAACTTTTATTACTTAAAAAAAATAAAATTAAAAAAATACTTATTAAAATTTTAAAAATTTTTATTTTACGTATTATCTATATATTAACAAATTGTAGCAAGAATAAAAAAATCCAAAGTTTCCCTTCATTAAAAATTTAAGAAATTAGGAGAAAATAGTAAACAAAAATGATTCTTATTTTTAATAGAAATAAAAAATGTTTAAGGGAAGCCCTTTTATCTTTCTCTTAAAAAAGAAAAACAAATTGAAGGCGTGTAGATTTGAGTTCGTGAGTTGAATGTAGCTGTGGTTAGTTAAAACCACGACGGTCCCCTGTGCTCTCTCTTCTCTTCTTCGTAACTATCGAACTAAAAAAATCAAATAAATAAATAAAAGCTTGAACTTGTTTTCTTTTTATAGCTCTTAATTCTTCACCCACTTTATTTCTCCCTTGTCATCTTTGGATTTGTTTCTTCTTTTGTTTTCCCTCAGATTTCTCTCCACGTCTCTTAAATCTCATCGCCTACATTTTCTTTCTTCTTCTTCTACTTCTTCTTCTTCTTCTTTGTTTATGTATAAAGCTAAAACTAGTACTGGGTTTGCTTTAAAACACAATAAAAATGGCTTCTTCAATCTCTGTTCCAAGCCCCAAGATCTCTTCTTTTTTTAAAACAAAACAACAAACCCAAAGTCAAAATATCTCCTTGGCTCTTCCTCAACGTTCAAACTCTTTCTTGTCATTTGGATCTTCAATCCGGGTACCTGCATTTTCAGGATGTCAGGTTAGTTAGTTTCAAGCTTTTTCCTTCTTTTTCTTTTTAAAAAAATTCTATAAAGTTGAATCTTTTGGTTTTGTTTGAAAGAGAGTGGGATTTGAGTTGATGAGTTTTGATTATATGGTTAATGATTGTGGTTAGAGATCTGTGTTTTTTTTTTTTTTTTTTTTGGGTGTAGTAGGAACAATGCATGAATGGTATTTTTGGATGTGTGTTGATGACAATTGTGTTTCTAAACGTTATGAAACTATGTTCGAGTAAATTATTATTACAAGCTAAAATAAATAAAAATAGGAAAAAAAACTATAAATCAATGGCAAAATGATTCCTTTCCTTGTAAAAGTTTTGTTATTTGACATATAAGTAGTGTTATATATATATAAATATAAATATTTATTTATTATGGCCAAATTTTCAACTTATCTTATGCATTATCTATTGTTGTAACTTGTAAGATTGATATTGTTTTATTTTTGAATTTTATTTGTTCAGTATTGTTGTATAATATGTTTGAGGTATTGCTTAAATGAGAATGGCAATTCATATTCTAATTTCTTTTCTTGCTTGGATTATAGTAACCGTTTTGAAGGCTTCTATCCAACATATTTGTTTCACTAAAATCTTGACATACAATTCATAGGTTTCTTGTTTGCAATCAAAGTGCCTCCCAATATAAAAATCATATATGATAAGCCGTGTCTGTTTTGTACTCATGTGACTAACTTCTGGCAATATGCAATGGCAATTGTTTATTTTGGTAAAATGATTTATTTGCTAGTTGTTTCCTTGCCGGCCTGTCATTTGCAGTGGCCTAATGGGAAGCAAACTACTGTCTTCAAGAGCAATGCACAACTTAATGAGGTGTGTTTTTCACGGGGAAGTTGAAATTTCATCTTTAGAAGAGATCTTATGGATGTCTACTAAACCAACTTTGTAAAATTAAGGTTGCTGCAGAGAAATATTCAAACTCTCTAGCAGTAGTTGAGCCTAAAGTTGCATTGCCCAAGGAGGATGATAAATATGCAGAAAACACTATTCCAGATGTTGCAGCAATCTCAGCATTCATGACACAAGTCTCAGACCTTGTTAAGTAAGTTGAAGCATCTTCTTATTTATTTTTAGTAAACGTGATAAATGTGTTTTCCACAAAAAAAGCATCAGTTTCATAACCTGTCACTGTTGATGTTATCTTTGATGAGCAGACTTGTGGATTCAAGAGATATTACGGAGCTGCAACTGAAGCACTCAGATTGTGAGCTTGTAATAAGAAAGAAGGAAGCTTTGCAGCCGCCGGAACCAGCAGCTCCAATTGTCATGCCACAATACATGCCTCATGCAATGTTTCAAACTCCACATCCAACAGCCCCAGTAGCAGCTGCTGCTCCTGCTAGCCCAGCCCTTCCAGCACCAGCACCAGCACCTTCCTTACCTCCCCCTGCTAAAACAGGCAGTTCATCTCATCCTCCCTTCAAATGCCCCATGGCTGGAACCTTATATAGGAGTCCTTCACCAGGTGAACCTCCATTTGTCAAGGTAAATGCTTGTGGCTTTCTGTTAACGGCTACCAGTTAAAGAGCTTCTTCGCTAAAAGAACAGGAAAAGCTTATTCATAATTTGTCTGAATTTTATTTTGAACGAAAATATTCATATGAACAAAGACTCAAATACTCCTTCAATGGTTTTTCAGGTGGGAGATAAGGTACAGAAAGGTCAAGTTGTCTGCATCATCGAGGCTATGAAAATGATGAATGAAATTGAAGTATGTTCATTCTCTTATTTCTTACTTAATTTAGGTCTCCCCTTGAAGATTCAAACATTTTACTCATGCCATCATTAATCTGAGAATGATAAAATAAATCATGGAGATTATTCCTACTATTTCATACATTCTTGCTTACCAGTTTTTCAAAGTAGTGTTCTTAAGTTCTTAACTTATTATTACTAATGGCTCTTAATTTGCTGAATTTGTGACTTGTCGAATTTCTTTGAACTCATTTTTCATTCTTAATTTTTGGTTTCTCAGGCCGACCAATCTGGAACCGTAACCGAGATATTGGTAGAGAATGGCAAACCAGTTAGTGTAGACATGGTAACATTCACTTTTTCTCTGTTTCTCTCATATTCTAAATTCTCTTTACTATTTTTCTGAATTCCCTATATTTTTGACTGCAGCCTCTTTTTGTCATTGTGCCTTGAATAACATGGCGAAGGAAGTGTTTCAAGCTTTCTAACAGACAATGTTTTCGGTTTACAATGGAATATTTAAAGCAATAATGGTTCTCTTGTGCTTCTGAGAATTATATGCAGCTGCTTTTATGTTTGATGCTTAGAACTTCACAAGAGCCTCCTGTAAGGGATTCCACGGTTTATGCTTAGTTTTCAGACGTTTAGCAGATATAATTTATTCCCTTTTTGTCTTTCCAAACATTTTTTTCCTGACAATTATTTGCTTCACTATTAAATTATATAAAAAAAGGACAATAAATAAAGATGCTGAGATAAAAGAAGGATTGTTCTAATTTGCTCATGTGTTTGGTAGGATATAAAGATGAAGACAATATCATTTAAGGTCAATATTGATACTATTTTCTTTTTATTTTTTTGTTTGATTAGAGAGAAAAAAAAAAGCAAAAAATTAGGGAATTTACACTTCTGCTATAACTTTTCCTGTCTACCGTTACTCAGCCTCCCAGCACCGACTGTCCTGTCTTCATCGTCATAATCATCATCTTCATCACCACCCGTTGTGCGACCGGCTTTTCCTCTTCTCCGGGGATTTGTTTGGGCGCTTCCTTTTGGTGTTTGCTGTGAAAGTCGAGTAATAGATAGTATCTTCCCTCAAAGCCTTTTTATATTCGTATATAACATAGAAGCAAGAAATGATATCCGAGATAGGATTCTGTAGTACAACAGATTGAACTTCACTACTCTAATCTTCCGCCAGGGAAGACTTCTAAAATGGTCAAATTATCTGATATATCTGAACAAAATCCCGATACGAGGAAGGCATGGTCGTGCGTGTTTCACTGATGTTGGAGGGAATGTTCTGCCTCGAGAGTACATCCCCAGGTTTTAGTGGTTCATTTGAAGAAAATGCCTAGTTATACGAAATAAGATTCACTGTTAAAGTCAGTTTCATATTTGGATTTAGAGGGAAAATGCCTCATAAAAAAGTCATGGCATAAGCATAATTTTAACCTGGCATCTTTGATCATTCAGGCTATAAACGATTTTTAGGTGTCTTTTCAGCTTCGTAAGAAGCTGTAGTGCAATAGCAGCAAGACAGTCGGCCTGGAATAGCACCATAGAGGAAAATGTTAAAAGTAATAAAGCATTACAGCTAACCAGTGAGCATCCAATTGATTAAAACAAAAATTCAGGAAACGCTGTATGTTGGAAGCAGTCGAAGAAAATGACCTTGTTTTCCCCAAACAAAGCAAACAAACGTCCATGCAAAATGTGTTCATCCAAAAAATCAAAAGAAATCAATCCAGGGAATACAAAAGCAGGGTTTGCAGGGTTCAAACGTACCTGGACTTGTTGCATTTCCTCTTCAGAGAGAGCACGGCATTCAGAAGGGCTCATCTTATGTGTTGTTGACTCCATTGCAGGAAGATAATGTGAAATAGACTGAATGGATGTCATTTGATAGAAAGTAGGCTGAACCACAGGCTCCTCCTGAATTGTTCCATTCAAATCTGCTGTAGCCATATAATTAAAAACAGCTTGATTGGATCCAGCTGAACTATCCCGTTATCATGAGTTATCTTCTGAGCATCTGTTTGCAGCAAATTTGAAATCCAGGCTTTCATATTTGCCTTAAGTGACGCAGCCCTGACTTGTATCACTCAATTTATAGCATAGATCAAATAAAGGGGTTCATCCGGAGATGAAAATGGTAATAAAGCAAGAGTTTCTGTACAATACCTGTAAAAAGGAACCAACTTCTCAGTATAATTATTCAAGTGAGATAGAAAATCTTAGAATTCGCATTTAGTAACTCACATGAAGAAAGATATAACTGATCCATTCCAGCTAGGATTATCAAATTTGCGCTCAATTGAGAACTTAAATTTGTTCCTAGCAACCTGATTTCCACGAATGAGCTTGTAAATTCTGGAAACTCCCAGCCGTGCTTGCATTAAAGACCCAGCATTAGATTTCCCTTTCAAATTTCCAGGAAACTTGGATTGGCATTTTTCATTTAGATTTTCATGTGCATCGCTGCTAATGAAGCGCATGAAGATAAATGACATCTGAAGGCCATCCCCTAGTCGGCTTTCAAAAAAGCCGGATATCTGAAAATTGAAGCTTTTATTTGTTGTGCTAAGCAAATGGAAAGGAACACAGAAAATTTTACTAGCACAAGGGAAGTACCAAATGATGATCCAACTTTTGGTTGACCTCCAGATGATCCGTTTCCAGTGCTATAAGGTATGGGACACAAGTAATAGGATGAACAAGACCTTGATGAAGTACTACTTCCACTATCTGCATTAACAACATATCAAGAAAATGATCAGTCCAAACAGAAAAATAACAAAGAAAACAGAAGCAGATAAAGTCAACCTTAATAAATTCAACCACCTGATAGATTGTTAGAGAATCATACGTGTAGCTTCCAACAATAAGTCTGATAACAGAATTAGAATCATGTAAGGTTTTCAAGGCACCAAATTTTCTTTTTCAAAGCTAACTTCTATCCAAACGATAGGTCTAAGACTTGTGCTACAAAATGATAACAAATAATTTTACAAATTTCTTGCTCAGAACAAACTGCCCTCCATAATTTAGTTTAATTTTTACATTATTCACTCCGCCGATATGAGGCTCAGATTCAGTCCATGCAAATAAAATTGGTTCCTCACACAGAATACAGACAAGGTAAACAATTTCTCACTTTTAGGGCAGATTGGCAAACTTCTTCATTAAAGTTCAACCATTTCCCTAGAATATTATCTCAGTACAGCTGAACTATACCACCACAAAATTTAGTATCACCAGCACCTGCAGCTACAGGGACACCATGGCCACCTTCTACCGAATAATGAGCTGCATCATTACCAGCTTTATCCATTCCCATTTGACTTTCCGCATCAAGAAGATATTCCAACAAATGTTGTAATGCTTGCATCTGGTTGACAGAATTGCTTAGAACGTCTTGTAAATAGAAAAATTAAGTGATATGAGACAATTTTACCTTAAGACAAACATTAGATTTCGGCGCTAATGCTGCATCTAATAACTTTCCAATGTCCTTGTCCAACATATATTCAGACCTAGCAATTAGAGCAAAGCCTAATGCCTAAAATTTGACGCCATTGAAACAAAAAAAAATATATATAATATTGAAATATGCTAATAGGGAAATGGAAGCAAACTCTAGGATAGCTTAGTAGAGTAGAATGAGATTTACCTGCAAAGATCTAACTTTTATACTAAAATCATCCATTAGAAGATATTTTTTAAACTAATACTGCTAGCAACATCAATTTTTTGGTCACTAGAACCACTAAACAAAGAGTTTCCATAGCGGATTAGCAATCCAAGACAGAAGAGAGGAAGCCCCATTTGCTACAAAAAGAAAATAATAATAATAATAAATAACTAAAGGAGCTGATTTAAGCTTTATGATTCACATGAAAGTTTTCTCCCTAGGAAAGGCAATTTAAAATTTTGTATATTACTTGTTTACTTATTTACACGCCTGTTTACTTTAAGCCAACTGACCTTAAGATTCAAGGAAATGATAACAATGACCAAAGGTGCTCACCTAAGTTGCTAACAGTCCTACAAATAACGATATCTTGCCAACACAACTTTTGATCAATAGGTTCGCAGGTGGTGGATTAATGAAATAAGGAATAGAGTAAGAAGTTTCAAATTTTCAACATCTCCCCCTTGGTTTTATTTGCATTCCTGTACTCTAGTAGCTGACCTCTAAATTTAATCAAGCTAAGAATATAAATTAATTCTCTGACACATTATCCAGAATTTGAAATCAAATCAGGAATTATCAACTTTGTTGCTCATATTGCACCTAACGAAAACCAATATATGAATTTGAGTAGCCTAAGAGATTGCAGGTGGAAATAACAAATATTAAGTACAGATTTTTTGCAATAAACCTGCTTGTTATCAGTCGCTTGGGAATCCAATAATCTGAAGAATAAGCGAACGAGATACTCAACAACAGTACCACCATTCCCTGACTTTTTACTCCTAGAAGAAAGGCAGCTGCAGTGAGAAAAAAACAAAAATGAGGGAATTGAAAGCAGAAATAGAATCCCTCTAGTAGTGGCACCTGCCTTTTTACTCACGGTGTATCTTAGAATCACATTTCAAGCAGGGCAAAAACTCAGAACAAAAAATAAATCCAAGCTTTCAGCAGAAATAGGATTCAATAAACTTAAACTTCAACAAACAAATTGAATTACAGCAAAACTAAAAAGAGTGGAGGAGAGAAATTTAAGATACCTGATGCAGGCCTGGACAACAGTCAAAAAAGAATGCGGGAAAATCATGTGCTTCAAGTCTTGTTTTAGTTCTTCGACAATATTAGGGGGTGCATCAAAAGGCACAACAGCATCAATTATAAAGATTATACTCCCCAGTAACTGTGCAACAACTCTGTTATCAACCTGAACACAAGTAAAAACAAATCAGGCGTTGCCCCCACATCCTAAGAACGATTGGATTATAGTAGTCAGGAAAATGTCCTGAAACAAACTTTTGAAAGTAATCAATAAAAATATTGGAAATCGAAGAAACTGACTTTCATAACAACAAAATTAGCCCATAATAAGAACCATTAGATTGACAAACCCAACGAGGATTAGTGGAAAGAAGCAACGGAACAGTGCAGTCCAGGGACAAAAGAATTTTTGAACTCAATGCAATCAAACAAAATATAGAATAGTCTGTTATTTCAAAAATAACTTTGTTGGCTGCCTGGAACCGTTAAAGCTATCTAACGCAGGTATAAGAAAGGTTGGCCGTTCAAATGAACAGAGCCAGACTACAAACACACAGATTACAATCACTTCAAAGTAAGAACGCCCAGAAGGTAATAGATCCAAAAGATATCTGATTATATTGTCTAAAAAGAAGTATAAAATGAACTGTACATAGCCCGACTCTTAAGATAAGGCTGTAGTGTGATCACAAACTGGAAGGATCAGAAGCTGGCATGCAGGGTGATGGGTCCACAACACAAAATGCACGAAAGGGCGACACATAGGGAAATATAAGAACTTTTGCTTCCAGATTACTCAATTCTTCCATTTGCAATATTCTTTCCAGTAAGCACTTGCACATCACTTCACATTGCCTACGTACCACTGTAAGTGAGACAGGGTTGATTCCAGCAGCTTTTGCTGATTGAGGGAAAAAATCGAGGACCACGTTACGCTTAATGACAGTTACAAGAAACTGATGATTAGGCAACTGCGTCAGCATTTCAACAATCTGCTCAGTCTTCTTGGCCACCTCCCATGGAA